TGAATTGCATGCTTCAATATTAAAAGAATGCTTAAATGCTCTTTTCTTTGCTCATGATAGAAAAGACATTGCCTAGGCAAATTGATTATAAAGAGGTAATTAGAGATTTTGCTTCTGCCAAAGCAATGAAAAAATTATTTTAGGGTTTTGACATGCTTCTGTAATGTTGTACAATAACTATATTGTTTTTTATATACCTAATTCATTCTTACTTGCCATGTTGTACAAGTAAATAATTATTATTATGATAATTTAATTTTAATATATCATCCTTAAAATTAGATGCATCATATTCTAATTTACTTTGAATAATTAGCTCATATTCTGTAATTAACGTAATATGTATTAATTATAATTAACTTCAAATTTGCTTGTACCCTATTCAAGGGACCTCAGAAAAATAAGTGTGCCAGGGCTTCAAACCACCTTAATGCGGGCTTGACTATCATTAATCAAACTTGCTATAATTTCATTCTACAGCTTTTTTCATTAACCTAAAAACTCCTAAAAGGAACATGATTAGCACTTGTATATTTGGTTTATGATGAATTCTTCGCCACTGAACAGTGCAAAGTCAACAGATTAAAACTTATGTCTGAAAGGATAGGGACCACTCTTTCTGAAGAGAAATATTTATAAAACAAGAATTTGATACATTATATTATTACAAAGCCAAAGGACAAACACTTGAACGAAGGATACTTCACTATTTTTCATGAAAATGGAAAACTTGTTTAGCAGATTGTAAGACAGTAACAGGCTTTGAAACCTCACTCTAGCCAATATGGAGCAATGCCCCCTGGCTAGAAATCTATCTATCTATCTCTACTTGGAAGCATTTAAGGTTTTAAATCAAACAAACCCTGAATGGGCTTGTTAGACAACCAGGGGCACTCAGAAACAGTTGTTTCTCTTCAGCCCTGGCTAGGAAAGAGAACCCTCATATTGAAATTAAATGTATTTCGTACTAACTTCAACAAGATATTAAATAATTTGGATTTGATTAAGGCTCACAAACTTTGAACTACACCTCCAAATCAGTGGCTGTTTTCATGAGAAAGATGACTGAAGTGACTGAAATCACATAATTCCATTTGACTACATACCTATTAAGTCCTTCTATACAGCTTCATTGGACTTTTGAACTTGTGGTCTTGGAAACAAATATCTTATGAATGGTGGAGGATCTGTGAAAAGTTTGCCAAGTGTTGTGTTGTAAAATTGACCCCTTGCCATCCTTTGAAGAAACTTATTTCAGTGTAAATTATTGTGTCATGCAACATACTGAGCAGGATCAATGATTGAGGAAGTAGTCCCAGGAACATGAGATCTGAATCATTATTCTTTAAAAGTGCAATAGCCTTCAATACCCCTACATTTTTTGTGAAAACATGACCACTGAAAAGTTTTGGTGTGATTCAGAAACAACAAACCCAAGTGATCAGTATTACAATATTTTATGTCATATATAAATGACAATGAATTTATTTCTGGCAATTATAAAATTTGTTTTTTAATTCTGGATATTGCTTAAACTTTTCCCCAACTGATTTTTATGAAATTCACATAGTTGTCAAGTAACATTTATTATCAAATTAAATATACACAACATCTAAACTTAGTCTTATGTGAAAAGATTTGATGTCATGAATATTGACATCTGTTAAAAAAAAACTTCATTCTTTAGCATTTCTATGTATTCATATATTTTCTAAAGTATTTCATCATATACTCTTTTAAAAATAATTTCTAGTAAGTCCGTATTTTTTGCTTCTAATCTTATCAATGTTTTCTTTTTATACCATTGGAATATTTAATCAACAGCCTTATACTTTCAATATTTAGGACTTGTATAGAAGATTGTTGGATATACAAGACTGTTTAGTATAGGCATTATCATTTAATTGATCTTGTGAGTTAATATTTCAAGATTGTTTAGTTTTTTCATAACAAGAGAGTTAAAAGAAATTATTTTAAAGACAATAGTTATCACAAGTTTGGTTATGTAACTTGGTAAGAGTCACAAGTTGTGTTTATAATCATTTATGTCGAGGCTATCATATGTTGTGTTTGCAATTTATTGATGTTGAGTCTATAGAAATTTCTAGAGGTCTCAGTGACAAACATATAAATAGCAGTGACCAAATGAGCAGGAGAGGAGTAAAAGTAAAGTCAAGTGAAAGAGAAGTTAGCCATTGTGGAAGTGAATAGCCTTAACAGTTGATATGTTAAAGTGAGATTAACAGTTTTATAAAGATAAGGAGAATAATTTGTCTTGTCAAAGGGTGTTCTGAACTAATTGAACCTGTCTGTGTGGACTTTGATGGAAAGAAGACAATTATTGGAAGTTCAGGATACAACTGTGGTAACCCACGAGGCAACATAAGTGAATTATACACTGATGCTATTGTGATAAAAGTAGAGAAAAATAGTTATAAATTATACACTGATGCTATTGTGAAAAAAGTAGAGAAAAATAGTTCGGCTTGTCAACTGGATTCTAAAGCAATTGAATTAGCCTAAGTGGACTTTTGTCAAGAAGAAGAGAACTGTATAATGTTTAAGATACAACTGTGATCTCCATAATGTAAAGAAATTTTGTTTATCTTGTTTGGACTTTATTATTTTAAAACAACTGGAGTACGTGCTGTCCATTTATTGTTCAAGTTTATTGGCAACAAGTCACAGACATCTACTGTAGAAGAATCCTTATCCCACACCCATGTGTATATATATATATATATACTTAAAACTCTGATAAACATACTAAAACAATATAGCACAAGCTTTGTTTTATCAACTTCACTGTTGAATTTATGAATATAAGAAGATATAGCTTGTAGTCAAACCTATATTATTTATAATATTAAAATAAATTGACAGGTAAGCAATTCCTCATACGTAAAGTTATTTCTTTTGTATATGTTTTCACTTTGTAGATTGCAACATGTATGGTTTTAATATTTGTAAAAACAACAAGTTTATAAAATCATTTTATTTTTGATAATCTGGTATGATAAAATCTTTTATTTTGTGCTAGAATAAAAGAACGGGCCATTTTAGTATTGAAACAAGCTAAATGAAGCACATGATTTTGTTATGTATATAAAGAATTATTATACCAGAGTCTCTATAGCTGAAACATAAACCATGTTCTCTTGATATATATATAGAAGGTATTTCAAGTTAGAAATATTTTTTTTTATCAGATGCTTAAACAAAGCAAATAAAATAACACTAAAAGTGAAATTACTAATTTTAATATATAGTATCATTAAATATTGTTATACCAGTTACTTTGAATAACCATTTCTAATGAGATGCTAAGATGTTGATGCAATATTAACAACTTTTCCATTAAGAATTGTAATTGATTGATATAACTGATTAAATGGGACATTAAGGAAATAAAATTATAGATTAACTATTTGTTTTTGTTCAATTTACTGTAGCCGTTGTGGATGTTTGATGTAAAATACCCATTGTATTGACTTTCTTAGTTTCTTTTCATCTAAAAGTTTAAATGACCATGTCTTGTATATTTGTAAAGAAAATATTGAAATTCTGTGATTTTGATTATTTTATGATTTATGTTCCCCCC